CAAAGGAAGAAAAGCATTTTCAAACAAGATAAGTTCTCTGGAAGCATGTCTTGGAATTCAACAGATATACCTCTGAAGGTCAAGATTGAAGCTGGGGCAAAAGAAGCCATTTTTGGGGCAAAATTTGATAATTGTCTTAAGTTGAGGTTTGCAAGAATACACCATGGTGGAAATGAAGAAAAACTAAGAGAATGGAGATTGCTCACGCAATTATCCCCTTCACAGATCAACATTTGTTTTAAGCATATTCAAGATTCCAGCATCAAGAGTCATCAAGACTGATAACCAGGGATTGAGATTTCTCTTTAAACCCTAACATATTTCGCATATATATCAACACATGCATACATTACGCATGAAATTTGTATTTTTGCATTCATCATCATGTGCAAGAAAGACCTTGATTTTTTTAGGACAAATTCAGTAAATCGACAAATAAATTTCATCTTGGCATACATCAAACATCCATCATCAGGATAGTTACATCCATAAACATTTTACAGATCTTTCAGGAGAATATGAGGTCAAAAGACAACAAGTCATCCTCATCAAAAATGAACAATCATCTTCAGATTCAATATTTCCAATATAAATTTTGTCTCGCTTGAGACAATCTCATTTAATGTAGATGATTATCTCACTTGAGATTTCTTTTCTTAAAACAGGCTTTGTCTCACTTGAGACTGTTTCACTCGAAAAAAGGCATTTCATTTCACTCAATACTGTTTTTAAAAAGAAGATTTTATCTCGCTTGAGATAGTTTCCTTTTAAACAAAATTTTGTCTCACTTGAGACAATTTCTCTTGAAACATAAATATTGAAAACATTTCCCTTGAAATGAATTTTGTCTCTCTTGAGATAGTTTCCCTTGAAACAAAATTTTGTCTCCCTTGAGACAGTTTCTCTTGAAACATAAACATTGAAACCATTTCCATTGAAATAAATTTTGTCTCTCTTGAGACAGTTTCCCTTAAAACAAATTTTGTCTCTCTTGAGACAGTTTCCCTTGAAACAAAATCTTTGAATCTGTTTTCCTTGAAACAAATTTCGTCTCCCTTGAGACAATTTCCTTGAAACAAAGTTTTGTCTCTCTTGAGACAGTTTCTCTTAAAACAAATTTTATCTCTCTTAAGACATTTTCTCTTAAAACAAATTTTGTCTCTCTTGAGACAGTTTCCCTTGAAAAAAAAACTTTGAATTTATTATCCTTGAAACAAAGTTTTGTCTCTCTTGAGACAGTTTCTCTTAAAACAAATTTCGTCTCCCTTGAGACAATTTCTCTTAAAACAAATTTTGTCTCTCTTGAGACAGTTTCCCGTGAAACAAAATTTTTGAATCTGTTTTCCTTAAAACAAATTTCATGTCCCTTGAGACAGTTAATTTTAAAACAAATTTTGTCTCTCTTGAGAATGTTTCCCTTGAAACGAAATCTTTAAATATGTTTTCCTTGAAATAAATTTCGTCTCCCTTGAGACAGTTTCTTTTAAAACAAATTTTGTCTCTCTTGAGACATTTTCCCTTAAAATTTTGTCTCTCTGGAGACAGTTTCACTTGGAACAAAAATCTTTGAATCAGTTTCCCTTGAAGCAAAATCTTTTAATCTATTTTCCTTAAAAAAATCGTCTCTCTCGAGACAGTTTCTCTTGGAAAATTTTGTCTCCCTTGAGGTATTTTCTTTTGATACTAAGTTTTGTCTCTCTTGAGATAATTTCCCTTAAAATAAAGTTTTGTCTCTTTTGAGACAGTTTCTCTTAAAGCACCAATCTTTGAAATTATTTCTCTTGAAACACAAAACCTTTGAAAATGTTCCTCTTGTAATACCAAACATTCGAGTTCAATTACATTCAGCACAAGGGTATGTCAAATTTACAGTATAGCTTAAGTTGAGAAGAAGACTGAAGTTGACTACAATTTGGCAACGAGAAGCCTCAATCCGATTTAAATCCTGAATTACGGCTTTAATTCCATATCATTTTCAGATGGACTCGACCTTACGACAAGGTAGTCATTTCAAACCAATCAAATATCGGGTTTCAACTCTATGACGGAGGACATTCGATATAAACGAAATTTGTGTCTTGTAATATTTGCTCTATTTTTGTTACACGATAATGAGCAAAGAGGGGCAGCTGAAGACACTTAATTCCGTCCCCTTGATTAATATTATTATATAATATATTTATTTACACCATTTTATTTACATTGTGTCAGGCCCAATGAAGCTGAAATACATGGCCCAGCAGCGACCCAAACGCACAACCTGAATTGGAAAACAAGGGTTTCCAGAATCCTAGTTCTTCAATTCCAAGTCAGCGTCGCACGCCCCGTTTTTCATTCTCCACGGTCGCATGCCTCTCAACAACCCCGTTTTTCACGGCAACACTCCAGCGGCTCCGAGTTCTCCGGCGCAAGGAAAGCGTCACCAACGCCACGCATGAAACAGAGCAACCAACATCAGTGTTTTACTCAAATGTAAACTCTAAAAACAGCTTTTTCTTTTGGCTATATATATTATGTAATGAACACACAGAGAAAGGAGATGAAATACGAGCAGAAAGTTTCGAGCTGAAAAAATAAAAAGAAAAAAAGAAAAAAAATACGATTGTGAGAAGAAAAGTCTGCGAAAGGAGAATCAAAGTATTAAAACGGCGAACAAACCTTTAAGCCCCGATCAAGCTAGCGTCCGAAGGAGGATCTCTATGTTTAAAGAATGTAAAAAACGTAATATTTTTGTTAGATCTATTGGATTATGCTTTGATTACTTGAAAAACCAACTTTAGATTTGTAGTTCAGGCTTTAAAACGTTTAAAAGGACGAACTTTGTAAATTTCTAGTCACCGACGACGGTGGTCGTCAATCGTTTGTGAAAACTGATTTTCCAGCTATGTCTGAAAATACCAAAGCATTTGAAGGGGGGAGATAGCTGAAATCTTAGAAATTAAACAGAAGTGAAATTGGGTTTTAAAAATAACTTATATAATAAACCCATTTAGATGTTACCCGATTCATTTAGAGTCTTTTAACCCGTGTGTTGTTTTCTTTTTCTGGGAAACAATGTGTCAGATCCTTCCATTTTTAGAATGAATTCAATTTGGTCTCGTAATTAGCCTTAATTAATGTCACGTTGCCAGGTAATATAGTGCTTAATGATATTTAATCCCGGGATTTGCTGATCGCGATTGAATTCCATGTATCTGACTTCTTAGTAAGATGAATTTGTGGTCAAATTATTAATTGTCTTCAATTGAATCAAACTTGGTGTGAAAAGTGCATTGAGCATCCCGATTTCCTTGCTTGGAATGTGCATGACTTAATAATTTTTTATCTCGTGGTTAGTGAACTGTGAATCAACGTGTCTAGATTTAGGTTGATTAACGTGTTTGAATTCCATCTCCATAGTTTTGGTTGTCAATGCATTAATTTTGTTTAATTGTCATTCTTTTATTAATAAATTTGTAAGCCTGTTAACCGATTAATTTTGACACCTAGACACTCTTATTCTTATTCATAATTAAACTTAAGAAAATAATTTGGAAATTTGATAATTATATCTTCTTTGGCCTCAGTTAAAAATTTGAATAATAATGTTGATATATGTTTAAATTAGGCGTGTTTCAGCTAAGTATTAATTAATGATTAGATAACTAATTAGTAAGCAATTTGGATCGATATTTTTTACCTCTTAATTTAAATTTACATTTTTCTTAACTAAAGACAACTGGAAATTACATAGTACCGAAAGGGCGGTTTAAGGGTGTTAATCCTTCCTTGACCGTAACCAACTCCCGAATCCGACATATCACTAGTAAGATGCAGATCATGTAAGAAATAAGGTATCCGGTCAACCCATTTGATTTAAAATAAATGATCGGTGGCGACTCCAACCCAATCCACAATTATAATAATAACCGTAGAAAAAGTTAATGAAGTGTGTAAAAAAACTATAGCTTTAGATACTCCAATAACTTTTTATACAATCAATATTTATCGTATTTAAAATATTATCTTATTAAAATTTTAAAATAAAGGCTTAAATATAAAATAAGTGTTCAAACTATATTGGTTTTTAACGAATTGGTGCCTAAAATATTTTTTGAATCTTCTAGGTGTTTAATGTTACAAACATCACCGCTTTAGATGCCTCAGTTTTAACGGCCATTAAAAAATCCATTAAGTGACACGTGTCACAATCTGATAATTTTGTTAATTTATTTTTAAAAAAACTTTAAAATATTTATTTTCTAAAAAACCTATTTTTTTCTAAAATACCAGAAAACTCAAAACTCTTAAAATCTCTTATTCTAGTCCCATTTACTCCAATAGTTGGTCATCCTAGACCACCTATTCGCCGGCGATTAACCACCCACTGACAGGTCACACCCCTTGATATCATCTCAAAACCCAAAATTTTGAAATCTCTACATTTCAATTCCTCATCCCTAAAATCTCAAATACTCAATCCCTTAAATTATTTTGATTTATCATGGTGATCAACTGTTTGGTCCTGGAAAGTTTGGAGGGGAGGGAAAACTTAGAAGCAAGGGAGAGAGAAGGAGTGGGACGCGAGTTGAGAAAATAAAATTTTTTTAAAAAAAGATAAAAGATTTCTAAGATTATGATACATGTCATTTAACGGATTTTATAACGATTTAGACACGTAAAATGGTAATGTTTGTAACGTTAGACATCTAGATGGTTTAAAAATAGTTTAGGCATCGTGAAAAAGTAATAGCTTGAGAAGTCTAAAATAATATTGTTAATTTTTTTTTTTATTATATATATAATTTAGACATCAATTCGTGAAAAAGTGATAATTTGGGGAAGTCTAAAATAAATATTGTTAATTTATTTATTTTTATTTTATTATATATCAATCTTTTTCAATTTAATTTAAATTTTCTTAACTCAAATTATAATAAACTCAATTTTTTTTTTGGATTTGGATCAGCTCGGCCAGGCTTTCGGGCTCGGGTTATTTTGCAGGCTCTACTCAGACTTAGTTGTTCCAAAGCCGCCTGAAATATAATAATCCGAATCAGTGAAGTTGCAGTGAGCAAAAGAGCTGCATTGTTTTCGTGACTTTGGGCAATTCGAGCTGACTCAAAAATGGCGGTATTTGGGAATTTACGGGTGGATGCCACTCTTGCATCTTACCATCAACACCATTTTCGAAGCTCTATCCCACCTTCAAAGGTCATTGTCTTCAATCCCTCGAATCTTTTGTTTAACTTTTCTTTTCATCGAATTTGAAATATTTGTGTAATTCATCATCTGTTTGATCAATTTCTGTCTGGGTTGTTGAATGGAATCGGGCAAGTTCCGTAATTCAGTGTATTTTTAGGGTTAGAGTTGGAGACGCTGTTCTGGTTCGTTTGAATTCCTAGTTGTTTAGTTGTTCTTTTGAAGTAATCGGAGCAAGAGCTAATTGGGTTTCCCTGCTTTGACGCAACACTGTTAGTTGGCAAACCCTTACCGGTCCTCGGTTTTCATTTCCGGGAAAATATCCTGGGTTCTGTTACCTAATATCTCAGCTAATTATTTTAGATTTTTTTAGTTTATTCACTATTGGCCTTGTTGGGTTCGTAATCTTCAATTTCAATCGCAGTTTGTTTTTTTATTTCTACTTTTTTTAATTGAAAATTGTCCTTCCTCATTGTCATAGCCTTATGCTAAAGAGGGCTGCATTTCATTTCCCGAAACGTTTTAAGTACCAAGAAATAGTCAAGAATCATGACCGTAGATTGATCTTTGTCAAATTGCATGTAGAGCCAAATTTAAGCATGTATGTACATTTTGGAACCTATTACTTGTTGGTATGAACTGAGATTCTTATTCCGAATACGATACTTGGCAATTATGAGTAAGGGGAACAAGATATTGACGGAAGATCTGAGCTTGATGAGTTTGGTGTTTCAAGTGAGTCGTACCCTTGCTTGTTCATCATAATCCTTTGATATTCTACCTTTTAAAAAACAATCCTTTGATCTCCTACCTTTGACAATGTGTTGATTAGAGTGATTTGGAACAAAAAGAAGATGCATTGTCATTGCTTGTAGTTGTAGGTTGCATTGGGCGATGATGGCTGCCGATCTGCGACCATTGCCTGAAGACTCGTTCTATTAATGTGCGAGTTGTACGACAATCTCTAGTGTGTGATAGCACTGTGGGAAACACTTTGGTGTGATACCGTTGATGAGTGATGACTTTCTGTTGGATTATGTTTAAAGACATTATCATTTCAAGTTTTCAACCATCTAGCTGAGGTCTTCCGCTCCTTGAGTTTCGCTGATTCTGTAGTAAAGTGGCGTTTTGTTATTTTTATATAGCTATTGGGCGTTGGCTTTATTTGTTAATTGTATGACAAGATAGTTCATTGTTTCATACAGAGCACCATTTGTTAGTTATTAATCGATGTTCTGCATGTGTATAACAGCTATAGAAGAGTGTACATTCTCTGGTCTTTTGTTTTAATTTTGGTGCTCTATTATAGGTAGATTTCATGTGTTTCGTGAATGGAGGATCAAGGTTTTCCGAAATCACACCAAAATGGAATGGATTGACAATTAATAGTCGAAGCATTGGCGGCCAAACTAAGAGACCAGCAGGGATCATGGGAGATTATAAGTTGTCTCCAAATGCCGTTCGGGAAGGCGTTGAGAGCTTCCTCTTACATGCCATAAACATGAGCTTCTTTGAGCGACTTAACTTGGCTTGGAAAATAGTTTTCCCATCTCCGGCAACTAGGAGGAGCTCGAATGCAAATATAGCGAAGCAGCGCTTGAAGATGATCCTGTTCTCTGATCGCTGTGCAGTTAGTGATGAGGCGAAACAGAAAATTGTCAAAAACATCGTGCACGCTCTGTCAGATTTTGTCGAGATAGAATCGAAGGACAAGGTTCAGTTTAGTGTCTCTACCGATTCTGATCTGGGAACTATTTACTCCGTCACGGTGCCTGTTCGGCGGGTGAAGGCAGAATACCAAGAGGAAAATGAAGCTGGGACGATAACAAATATCGAGTACAAAGATACTGGAGACCGGTCTGGTTCGGTCGATGTAAGGTTCGATTTCTATCTTCCAGACGAGTAGACACAAATTGGCGGGTCTTTAAACCATTTTGCATTCGTGTGGTATCTGAATTATCTTTTCTAATTTCTTGATGTTTGAACTGAAGCTTTAGGTAGCAATGCAACTTTACACTTGTCTGTATATATGGAATTTTAATTTGAGGTGATTTTCTCGTTTGTCCTTTTTTAAGGTGTCATTTGCCCTCATTGTACTCTCTAATTTGATTGATGATCGGCTTTCATTGAACCTCGGGTGGCTCATTTTTCTCACTGCTGATTTTTCTAAACTATAGATAAACAATTATGTAGTTTTTTTAAATTATATTCATGACCACTTAATTATTGTCCATTTTTGTTTTTAACACTAATTTTGATATTTTATCAATTAAACCACTTAATTATTTAAATGTGTCAATCAAGTCAAGTCGCTCTTTCCGTGAAATTTTAACGGCAAGTGGTTTGATAGAAACAATTAAATAGTTAAGTGATCTGATTGATAAAATTTCAAAATCGGTGGTCAAAATAAAAGGGATAATAGTTAGATTGTTATACATATAGTTTACCCTTTTTTCTATAGTGAAATTGATTTTCTGGTTCGAATGTAGGTCGACCCGAAGAATAAAAGGGAGCTTATTGGCGTGTAAGAAAAATGCTTTTAGCATTATGCCAAAGTAAATTGATGTGATATGAGAATGATTCTTTTCATTGATAATTATGAATATTATATAAAATTATTATATTTAATGAATGCCTTAAGTATTTTTTTTAAAAAAAATATCTGATAAATGATCGCGAGTGGATGATAAAATGAATTATGATCATGTTTGACCGTTAGATAATGAATTTAATCATATGAAAATATAATTATCATTTTATCATATTAACAGGGATTCTAATTATCCATGCATGTTTAAAAATCATAATATAATTGTATATTAATTTCCAAATAATGTTAATTATTATAAAATAAACTTAAACCTTATCAATGTTTTGTAAATATTTAAGTTTTTAATTACAAAATCATTAACTAAAATAAAATTATTAGATATGAAAAATTATGATGTAAATATCTATAACCATATAATTGTTATACTACATATCAATGTGTATCACTATTTTTTTATTTTTTATTTTTTACGTTATAGTTATTCTTTAACAGTTGTTGTAAACCCATCTGGATATTGCGGAGGATAAGTTAGGCTTAGTTTGTTTTTACTGTGCAAGCTCTTCAAACCATTTATGTCTGCGCCGCGCAGACCACGCGTAGACATTAGGCTTCGCAGACTGTTTGTTTTTTAGAAGACAAAAGCTCTTCAAATGTCTGCGCGAGCTCTTCTTGGTGCAGCCATGGTTTTATGTCTTCAAAGGTCTTCAAACCTCTTCAAGAACAATTATAAAATATAGTTATTTATTAAAACAATTTTAAATAATTTAATAAGGTTATTTATTTTAAAATAATTTATTATAAAATAATTTATTTTAAAATAATTTATTATAAAATAATTTATTATAAAATAATTTATTATAAAATAATTTATTTTAAAATAATTTATTATAAAATAATTTATTTTAAAATAAATTATTATAAAATATGGATTGATTTATTTTAAAATAATTTATTTTAAATAATTTATTAGTATGGATTGATTTATTTTAAAATATGGATTGATTTATTATTGTAGTTGTATGGATTGATTTATTTTAAATAATTTATTAGTATGAATTGATTTATTTTAAAATATGGATTGATTTATTTTAAATAATTTATTAGTATATATTGATTTATTTTAAATAATTTATTTGTATGGATTGATTTATTTTAAAATATTGATTGATTTATTATTGTAATTGTATGGATTGATTTATTTTAAATAATTTATTAGTATGAATTGATTTATTTTAAAATATGGACTGGTTTATTTTAAATAATTTATTATTGTAGTTGTATGAATTATTTAAATTTCAGTATTGTAAAACTAAAATTATTTAAATCTCAGTATTGCAAAACTCTTTTAAGTTTAAAAAATCAGTTTATTTATATTTCAGTTCATTTTAATAAACAGTCTTCTTCTTGCAGACTGCAGACTTTTGGTCCACCTCTTCTGCTGTAGATTTCTACAGATGTAGTCCGCAGACTGCAAACCTTTTACCTCTACAAAAACAAACACTACCTTAGTGTTCGGTTTCAATGTACACCATGGGAGGGTAACTTTGACTTTTGAGTTACCGGAATGGATAATTTCGTAAATCCACTTTACAATTTAAATTCACCAGAGATTTGCCGAGCGCCATTTTTGAAAATTCAGTGTTTTGTGTCATTAACTGAACTCCCCCCCTCCCTCTGCCGGCTCCGTGCTAAATTTTACCTCTTCCTGAAACCACGATCCTAGATTTGAAAATTCTTTTCTCCCTAATCAGCTGTGAGCCCTCCTTGTAAGCATTTGAAATGAACGGATCTTGTTTGGAATTCGAGAACCCGATTCGAGACGCCATTTCCAGGATCCGATTCGCTCCGCAATCTAACAACCTCCTCATTTCTTCTTGGGAATCCGTTAGTAATCTCCTCTGATCATTGTTCCGTTTTTTCCCATCTGGATTGCAATTATTCGCTGTTGATTTTGTTTCTTTAATTTTTAACAGAGTCTTCGACTACTTGAGGTGGATTGTTCTCAGCTCAGACTAGAAGCTTCGTCCGAGGCTGCGCTTCTCGACTGTTGTTTCCAGGATGAATCTGTCGCGTTCAGCGCTGGCTCTGATGGTTCTATTACAAGGTTTTTCATTTTAATTGCTTGAGTGTATTCAAATTTTGATTTAAGCTATTACATGAGTGGTTTTCTTCTTTAATTAAAGGTTCTGCTGCTAAATATTGGTTAAGAGCATGAAATATATGACCTCTTTATCTCGTAAATCCAAGATTCTCTAAATATGGAAATCCTTTTTATTTTTAGGTATGATTTGCAGTCTGGAATCAGCAATAAAATTGGAAATCATGATGATATGGTAACCTGCGTGGAATATTCTACTGAAACACGTTAGTTACCTCATTCCTACTGCTATTCAACTTGAGCTACATTTTGTGTCAATATCTTACTTAATGATACTGTGAGATCTTGAATAACTTTGCATATTTTATGCCCTGTAGCTTTACTTTGTCATGATTCACTCATCAAATGAATTTGCTTTGTCTTAAAAGGTTCCTGCTTGTTTTTATGCACTTTACGATTGTAATTTGTAAACAAGTAATGATGGTTGGTGTTTACATTTTTGTAATTCATCTAGCTATAAAACTAAATTTTGTCCCATTACCTTGAACCTTCTACAAACCTTTTAACATTTGTTCAGAACTGTTGGTGTAGTTGTTAAACAGAAACACAAGCAAGTTTGTTCACGCGGTTTAGATCAATCAACGATCCTACCTCTGTGCAACCTTGTTCAGAGAGAAGTCAATATAATATTCTTAGTACTAGAGACACGGATTCTCAACTAATATTATCAGTACATCTGTACAAGAGATACAAATTCTCAACCTAACTATACTAGTTGTAGCACTCCCCATACAATATTCTCCTAACTATTCTCTCCCTTAAATAATCTTCACTGATTACTTAATACTTACGGTAAACACAACCTTGAAACTCTCAATAGCACAGTTATAATGTTTCTCAAATAAGCCGATTTGTTTGAAATAATAAAATGTTCTCTCATATGATGCAAACAAAGTCCTAGTCGAAACTAGACACAAGTGAAGAACAAAATTAGTTATACAGCTTTTTGCACCAAAAAAAAAGATATTTCTACCGAGGGCAATATGTCTGCAATTTTGAACCTCTTTATTTTTTGGAAGCTTATAACGGTTTTAGAAAATGGTTTGTGCATCGAATTTATATTGTTCTGTGACGTACTACCCTGCATATATTGAGCAACTGAGTATTTTGTTTCTCTTCTTACATAAGCTGGGGCTTTAACAGGGCTGTGATAAAGAAGTTTTAGTAGATTAATAATTTGGTCCTCTCAACAGAAGGTTTTCAAGAGCACAGCTGATAGTTTTTATTACATATACCAGTACAAATATGAACCTATTCAACTATGTTTGTAAAGAATGTCAATAGTAGAACCTCATTGTGATTTGTGAGTTTATCGTTTCACATTAGAGCACAATGCTTTATTCTCATCATTGGAGGGACCCTGAGGACCCTTTAAATTGCAACATTCCAGTGAACATCGAAAAAACTCCATTATAAACCTTAGATCATAGATTTACCATTCAAGTATGTTCCTGTAATCGTATTTATTTCCAGTGGAAGTTAGTCTCCTTATTCTCTTATTTCAGGTCAAGAGATTACTGCAGGCTTTGATAAGAAGATCATAGACTGGGACATGTTTGGAGCAAAACCCCTTGTGTTCCTGAAAAATCTAGATGCAGAAGTGGAGGCAATGTCCCTCTCTGGATTTGAATTGATACTAGTGGTTGGGTCATCAGTATTTATTTATGACTTGCGTAACCTAGACCAATCTGTTCAATCAAATGAATCTTGTATGGATGTTCCAATACGATGTGTCTCCTCAATTCCTTATAGTAAAGGTATTATTTTTTGATGTCGTTGACTCTACATGTACTAATGTTCTCTTCTGTCTCAAAATTATTTTTGATGAATGACCTATGACCAAACAACTAAATGTGAATTCCACGAGTTATTGTGATGGATTTCTGTCAGAATTCATAATCTTCAATATAACAGCTTTATGAGAGATGAGCAAAGAAAAAAAAAAACTTTTCTTAGATGGCTTTGAATTTTTTCTATACCACACTTAAAACTGATTATATGTTCTCGCAGGATATGCAGTTGGATCGGTAGATGGACGAGTAAAGTTAGATATTTCATATCCTTCCTGTTCAAACAACATGGGGTTAGTTTTGAAAACTGTTGAACTTTTGGTTCAATGTAGCAGTTGAAAATTGAAAATCACGGTCTGTGTCAATTTATAAATCCAATTTATCTCATGCTTGCAGGTATATGTTCCGATGTCATCCAAAATCAAGTGACCGAAGAAACCATGTAGTACTGGTGAATGACATTGCATTCAACCCGTTGTATGTGCACTTCAATCAGGATGATCTCATAGGTAACGGACAATGTTGCATAATGGCATTATTATGGTACTTTTTGTTTTAGCATCTCAGGTGTTT